AATGATGAAGAAGAAGATAAATATTAATCTCCTTAAGCAAGAAGATAGAGTTTTTCTTAATTTAATGATCATTAACATTCACTCTCTTAAAAAACTCTTCATTAAGATGAAAATTATAAGGATTTTGATATTGATAAAGTTTAAGAATATGAATTCTATTATCCGCATGATAATATAAGTAAAATAAGTAAAATTGTAAACAAATAACAATTATTACGGAGATTGTTAGATAAAGTATCAAATAAAAAGAATTTATTTGCTGGTCTTGTATTTAGATAAGTAGTTTAGAAAATTATATGAAAAAGAATTAAAATATTAAAAAAATTTACATTTTTCCTTTTAAATATATTATTCTATTTTATAATAATAATCATAATCCTCCATCTGTTGTTATATTTTAACAGTCCAATACTTTTTTATTATATATTTAAATCCCATATAAGTTATAAATCATAATTTCAGCAATCTTCTAAATCATCTATTAATTTACTATAAATTGTGATCTTTTCTTAGGTATTATTGAATTTAATTTTTATAACCCAAATTTTTCATTATAAAATAAATCATAAACAGAATGTAATGATATAGGATATTATATTAATGTAATCTATCCTGTGATTAAACTAACATAAAACAATCCTCCTGAATGTTCTTAAAGTGCATGTTCATTTAAATTTCCAAATTTAGATTTTGTACATTATCTGATACAAAATACTTTTTCACAAATTAAACACACAAGAATATCTTTGTTATTTTCAAATTATGTATTGTAATTTTTACATATATCACAACCTTTAACAAAATACTTTTTATGGAATTCAGCAAGGTTTTAACCCAAATTAGAATTTAGCTTTTTACTATATATATCAAAGATTTATTAATTATATTCTATATAAGGATCTGATTCCTAAATCTATATATAACTTTAATTATTAAATTCTTAAACTTCTTAAGTAGAAATATTAAATATATCCAACAAAATTTATTTGTATTAATCTTACTTTAAATTTAATACAATTATTATTATTTCATTCTTTAATTGTTATTTATTTTAATTTATTATGATATTATTATATATTGAATAAATGATATTGAAGAATATTGATATATCTATATCAAATTTATATTCTTTTGGTTATATTTTTAAAGGTGAAGACAAATTTATAATTGTTGTTTACTCTAACAAATTAATAATTTAATTTAATACAATTATTCTATTTAGATCTCTGAATCTTTTAATATCAATAAATAGTTATTGTAACAAATCAATTATAATTTAAAGATATATTTCAATAATAATATTTTGATATTGATTCTAATTTGATTTTACTAAATAATCCCATAATTCATTTTCATTAACACAATCTATGAGATTCTTATTAAATAATTGAACATCTAATTAAGTAATTGATTTATTCAATGGTATTTCTATATTGTATGAATGATTACATACTCTGCATGCCTATTTATACCATCTAGGAAGTTGGTTGAATAATGATTATTATGTATTTAAGAGAACACAATTTTTATGATATATGTGTGAACATCCATTAACACTCAATTAAAGTAGATTATGATTCTAATTAATCAATTAAGATAACAATATTTCAGGCATAGGAAAATGTTTATAATTATTTCTCTTAGATAAGAGAATTGAAATACAATACTTATCTTGTATTTAGAGTTTACAATAATCACATTATTGATAATCATTATTTTAGAGAGACTTATTATTAATAAGGTCATTTTATTAAATTAAACATTATTCTTCTTTATTTTAGATTTTTATTGATTATTGATCATCCTGTAAAAATGAGAACGTTTAAAATTATTCTATTAAAGTAACATAATATTATTATAAGGGTTCATATTAAGATTCTTATTATATTTTTTTTAAAAGCTAAAGAATAAGAATGAAATTGCTTTTTAATTCTTCAAGTCTAAAATAGGATGCTGCTAAAAATAAATTTTATATAAAAATGAAAGTTTCTTCTTCCTCATTTTTGTATTTGGATAAAAATTATAGATTATCTATAAGATTCTATTTGGAAGACAAATGATTGAGTATGTTCTTTTAAATTAAATATTAATTTTCTTAATGATATTATTTTATGTTCCATAATATTCCATTTCCAAAAAGTATATCCTTTGTTTGGATGCCTCTTTCATTTAATTTTTGATTAAATAATTTTCTAAAATTTGGTTTTGCAGCAAAAAGAATAGGATCAAAGAGAGGGGGATATTGTGACTTTAATTTAAGTAATTTTGTAGTTTCATCTATTTCTAAGAAATTAAGAACTAGAGTATTTAGACTTGGAAATATGATTCCGAAATCTTCAAATCTGAGTTAGATAGTTTCGAGTGTTGCCTATATTTCAATATTCATTATATTTTGAATTATTTTTTAAAGTGCTTGTTGAAGAACTATTGGTAAAATTTCTTATTCTCTAAAATAATATATGGATGAATTATATATATCAATATCAGATGTCATTAATCTCAATAGATATAAACTAAAATTAAATAATATATATACTAAGTGACTGTACATTAAAATGTTATATTTGGAATAAGCATATTATTTATTGCTCTATAAACATCAAGCAGGCCTGTTTCACCAAACAAATAAATATATAATTTTCCAAAGGCTGTGTCTATTGATTCTAATTTTGATCTCTAATTATTTTCCCCATAACCATAATAGAGTTAATCAATTTTATCATCAGCCATCATCCAAATAGTAACATATTTCTAGATACATCTTTATAATATTTATTAAAAATTCTCTTTAATAACTTCAATTGAATCATCAAAAATATATTACAAAAATTATAGAAATTGTTAAGGTTCTTTATATTCTTTAATTGATAGATATAAACATAGTGTTGTAATAAACAGTTTATCTAAAATTGAAGCATTCTTAATTAAATAACAATATATTTTTCTTGCCTTAACAAGTTTGATATTAGAATTATCTTTTTAATATACATATTGATTAAATATTTAAGCTAATTAAGTTTCAAATTTGACTCCAATATTTCTATTGTTTTTAATTAAATTATAGGTTTAAACAAGAATTACTTAAATTAAATTATTTTATAATTATTCAGTACTTTCGGAATCACTAAATAAACTAATAATTCCAGTTTATATTTCTTTAATTAATTCTCCTTCAAAATGTAAGTAATATTTTAATTCAACTTCTTCATCTATAGATTATTTATAATCAAATTTTTTATTTGGTATAACAGAAGGTGTAGCTTTGCCAAAACAATTTATAAGTTTTGTTAATAAGTATTATTAATGATTAAAATTTTTGATAAGATTCAAATCAGCATTTTAATTTTTAAATTTATCATAATCAACACCTAACGTATTTTTTAATGAAATCATATTAAATTTATCAAAATTCTCACTTCTAAATTTAGATCCTAAGAATTTAATTCCATACCAAGGATAACATAACATTTCACCTAATGGAACATGAATTAAACAGTAAGCATTTTCTAAAAAACTAAATAATTGAATTTAATCAAGTTATTCTACTATAGTCTTCATTATTATTTCATTAATTGTTTCCTTAAATTATTTAACATATTCACATTAAATGTAGCTATAAGATGTAAAATTAGTTTATTTTAATTCTTATAAATAATTTTCAACGATATAATTAAACTCATCTATTTATTTTTTATTATTCTTTTCATACTAAGGATCAATATCTTATTACTATAAAGTCAATAAATCAATATAATCATAAACTGAATAAATAGATTTTGTTTTTGTATTTTTAGCAAGTAAAAAAAAGCTTGAAAATATTCTTAAATTTACTTTGCATATAAATTCATTAAATTCTTAATTTGAAGTTAATCTTTATATTAAATTAAAAATAAATATTGGTAACTCAGGTGAAGATGCTTCATATAATGTTTAATATCTAATTAGACCTTCATATAAAGAATGTTCATAATTTGGTAATTATTTTTGGAATATATTTGCAATCAAATTTTGAAACTATTCTCTATCTTAAGTTAACCAATCAATTAAATTAAATATCATTTAATGAAAGAACTAACTTTTCACTAATAAATTGTAATATTCTTTATAATTAATCTTTTTGTCTATAGTTTATTTAATTTATTCAATATTAAATTTTTCACACAAATGATACAATTACATTATTGGCAATCTAAAATTGCTCCATTAAGCTTCAATTTATTTCATTATTTCATAATAAACTGAACTAGCAGCCATAATAAATTACTCTATCTTTATTGCTAAATCTTCAGGTATAATATCAATTTAGTTTAATTTCTATTCTTCTAATATTTTATGAGTTTCACAATTCTAAATTAGAGTCAATCTTCCACAACTACAATTACCTACATCTGCAATATATTCAAAATTATGATCTTGGATATATTTATATTTATATACTTTAATGTTCTTATATATTAAAACATTAAGAACATATTAAATGAGAGATATCATCAGAGCATGTAATACATCTGAATGCCAATTATTATTCAGTAATTTCTTTATTACAAACATTCTTTTTAATTTTTTGGCTCATTTTCCATAAATTCAGATGATCAGGCCTATCAGATATATATTATATAAAAATTTAATCTGATTCGATTGGTTGAGGAGGATTTGTAAAAATTTACTCTATTTATTGGACAAATATCATTATTTTTGTCGAAATTTATTTATTTTGAATTTCTCATTTCTTTGATACCTTATCAAATGGCTCAATAGAATTAAATCAGAAATTATAATAAATTTTATTTTTTTTAATACTATTTATTATTATATTTTATTGAGCTTAAAAATTGAAATTAGATATATTATTATTAAATAATATAGATATATTTGATAAGTAAATATAATACATATGTTAATTATGATTATGTATATGTGATTAAGATTGATATTTAATAATGATTTTAAATACATTTGAATACAATTTATTAACATAATACTATAAAAGAATGTTTATAATGAGAAACATGTTTATTCTAATTTTTATTGGATATGTTTAAAGTGTAGACATTTGTGTTTAATAAACTACTTATGAATAGTGTATTAACTTGAAAGGAGAATAATGTAAATGGAATGGTTAATATTGCAGATGGTCAAATAATTATTTATTTGGATGCGATCCAACTTTGAATGAAAAACTATGCACCAAATAAATTGGGAAATTAGATGGTACAATAGCAATGTGTATATTTGATAAGACTTGTCACATTATTTATGAATAATATTTTCTAAAATGTTCAGATAAATTATCAAAGTCTGCATGTCTATCTATAACAAATCCAGATTAATTATGTAAATGGGAAGATGATTAATGCATGAATTTAAATTAAACAGAATTTAACAATATTAATGCTATATTTTAAAATTTAGAATTGAGTGCATCAGTTTGTAGTAGAATAACAGGATTTTTGATTATTCATCATTCAATATTATGGAAACTTTTAGAATATTCTCCAGATATTTTAAGAGAAGCATAAAGAAAAGTTGAAATAGAAGCAGGAGTTGAATTCTAGGAATCTAAAACTTATTAGGATTCAAATTTGAAAGATAATTTTATTGATTCTAATGGAATGTTCATATGGTATACATTATCAACAAAGTAATCTATATCTGACAGTAAAATTTAATTATTAACTTAGCAAAACTTAATGATTTTCAAAGATATGGTTGCATTGCTTAAGAAATCTTAATTGAAAATAGATTTATAAAGTTATTTAGTTTAAGTGGAACAATAAGAGGAGTAAATCATGTTTATTGCAAATATTTGAATGTCCATCCTACAAATGCCATCTTTACTGTTTTTACTAAATTTGAATGTTTACCAACAACAGAAGATTAATTATAGGATGAATCCTATATCAATAAAAATTAATTATAATGTTAAGATATGAGTGGTATAGTATGTTAAAGATTCAAGAGTTCTGAGATTAAATGTGTAATTGATTATACTTAGGAATTCTAATGCAGAAATACTAATATTATTGTAGAGATTGATGAATGTAAAACATTAAGTGGTACTGCTACTCATTATAATTGTGCATTTGTGATACAATAATATTGTTATTTAGATATTTCTACTTCAAAAGGGTAATGTTCATAATAATGTTCAGATTTGACATCTAAATCTTAATGTGAAAACAATTAATAATGTAAATGGTTAGGATATAATTTAGGAAATATAAATGATTCAAATTTATCAATATTTCGTGTTTGTGTACCATTAAAAGGATGTAATTAAATAGGAATGAATAAAAAATTTTGTTAAGAAATGAGTATGAATTGTTATTGGAATAATATAATTTAGAAATGTTAAGAAATTAAATTTATAGAATAATTAAGATGTGAAGATTGTAATTCAATATTTTGTTGTTCATCTATTACTATTTATGATTAATTTTGTATTTGGAATGTAGATAAATGTATAAATGTTAAAGATTAAAACTTATTTTCTCATTATTAATCATTTTCTTCATCAATAGTAATGAATTAGAATTTATGTTTATCTCAAAAAGGACAATACAATTATTATGATATAATTACAAGAACTTGTAAAACTTAAAATATTAATTTATATCTACCTTGTGTTGATTTTCTAGATAAAGATTATGATCTTGATAATAAACCATGTGATAATGGAATAAATGGGAGAATAAATTAAGAATTATGTTTAGATCTTATTAATTCTAATACAAAATGGGATGCTTCTTTATAGAGATGTATTCATGTAACTAATAAATCTATATCTTGTGATAATATGTAATTTGTTAATCCAAATTTATGTAAATATGGTATTGTCTAAGAATCATACTTATGTCTCTATAATTTAGATACATCAAGTTGTTATTCATCATAATTGATTGATCTTCATTGTGATACTCCAGGAATTAATTATGAATAATGTATATCTAATCAAAAAGAAAATTGTTAATGGAAGGAAAATAAATGTATTTCTTTAACAGTTAATCTAATTGTATAATATTATTGTTTTGAATTCTAAAATGTAAGTCCAAATGTTTGTAGATTTACAAGTAGAAATTTTAGTTGTGAATATGATCATAAAACATTTGGTTGTAAAATTATAACCAATTAAATAATAAATTCTTATAATTATGTTAATAATTAAGGTTGTTTAACATCAACTGATTAATATTATTTTGATAATGTATAACATTAATGTTTAAATGCAACTGACTATTTAAATATTTTGAATTGTGATACTGAATTTATTCCAATTTAAACTTGTCTTGCAATTACAACTTAAAATTAGAATTGTTTTTGGGGTTCTATTCCTAGTGACCCACAAATTAAATGCAGATAATATAAATAATAATTCTAAACTACTTGTAATTCTTATTAATAATCAGCCAATCTAAATACTTGTACCTAAATGGCATCAAACTTATCACTCATTCTTACAGATGATTAATTTTGTGAAGTCATAGATTCAAAATGTGTCTCATCTATATCCAAAATTGAAGATATTGATTGTGGATACAATAGAATGATCAATATTCATAGATGTGTAGCATTCACAACATAAAATTGTTATTTTTTAAATAATAAATGTAATTTGTTAATTGGAGCTTAAGAATATTAATAAAAATTATTAGGAATCCTAGAATGTCAATAAAGTAATCTTTAAATTTGTAATTAAATTTTGACATCCGGTTAAACATNTAATTTTGTATTTGGAATGTAGATAAATGTATAAATGTTAAAGATTAAAACTTATTTTCTCATTATTAATCATTTTCTTCATCAATAGTAATGAATTAGAATTTATGTTTATCTCAAAAAGGACAATACAATTATTATGATATAATTACAAGAACTTGTAAAACTTAAAATATTAATTTATATCTACCTTGTGTTGATTTTCTAGATAAAGATTATGATCTTGATAATAAACCATGTGATAATGGAATAAATGGGAGAATAAATTAAGAATTATGTTTAGATCTTATTAATTCTAATACAAAATGGGATGCTTCTTTATAGAGATGTATTCATGTAACTAATAAATCTATATCTTGTGATAATATGTAATTTGTTAATCCAAATTTATGTAAATATGGTATTGTCTAAGAATCATACTTATGTCTCTATAATTTAGATACATCAAGTTGTTATTCATCATAATTGATTGATCTTCATTGTGATACTCCAGGAATTAATTATGAATAATGTATATCTAATCAAAAAGAAAATTGTTAATGGAAGGAAAATAAATGTATTTCTTTAACAGTTAATCTAATTGTATAATATTATTGTTTTGAATTCTAAAATGTAAGTCCAAATGTTTGTAGATTTACAAGTAGAAATTTTAGTTGTGAATATGATCATAAAACATTTGGTTGTAAAATTATAACCAATTAAATAATAAATTCTTATAATTATGTTAATAATTAAGGTTGTTTAACATCAACTGATTAATATTATTTTGATAATGTATAACATTAATGTTTAAATGCAACTGACTATTTAAATATTTTGAATTGTGATACTGAATTTATTCCAATTTAAACTTGTCTTGCAATTACAACTTAAAATTAGAATTGTTTTTGGGGTTCTATTCCTAGTGACCCACAAATTAAATGCAGATAATATAAATAATAATTCTAAACTACTTGTAATTCTTATTAATAATCAGCCAATCTAAATACTTGTACCTAAATGGCATCAAACTTATCACTCATTCTTACAGATGATTAATTTTGTGAAGTCATAGATTCAAAATGTGTCTCATCTATATCCAAAATTGAAGATATTGATTGTGGATACAATAGAATGATCAATATTCATAGATGTGTAGCATTCACAACATAAAATTGTTATTTTTTAAATAATAAATGTAATTTGTTAATTGGAGCTTAAGAATATTAATAAAAATTATTAGGAATCCTAGAATGTCAATAAAGTAATCTTTAAATTTGTAATTAAATTTTGACATCCGGTTAAACATGCCATATAACTTAAGATAAAAAGTGTGTATAATTGTATTTCTCCTTTTCTGATACATGCTAAAATATATCCCATTATGATATGAATAATTATAATCCATAAATTTGTAGTAGAGCCTTTAATGCTTGTTATTATGATATTTAGAGTAAAACATGTTAAGAACCTCTTACTCTTAAATAATTCAAGTGTAATTAAATTGGTGCATCTAAAAAACTATGCTTACTCTATACATATGAAAATTGTGTATTTTATAATGAAATTTGTTAAACTCTTGTAGATTTAAGTATAGATTGTAAATTTAGAAATAGGAATGCTTGTTTTTAAGGTATAATTGCTTGTTTTTGGAATGAAATTAATTAAGTATGTTAACAATAAATAATTGATTGTCCATTTTATTATGAAAAATCTTTCAGTTGGCAAATTTGTTAATCAAGCAATTAATTTTGTTTTGCTGGTTAGAATGGATGTATAAATTATTTCAATGAAGTGCCTTGTTGGTTATCTCTTAGTTAATTGTTATGTAATTTTCAATGGAAATATTGTTAATGGTTGGATAATTAATGTGTTAATGACAATTATGATTGTGAATCAGCTTAAACACAATAATAATGTTTGTTACATAGATCCAATTTTTGTGTATTCCATAATAATAAATGTTTCACAATTCTCAACATTGAACTCTATGATTGTGATTTATTTGATTAAGTATCTGAAAATTTTTGTAGACAATATCAACCTATTTGTACATATTCTTTAACAGACTTTAAATGTATTAAAATGAATTTCTTAACAAATAGTCAAATGATTGATGAATAATTTAAATAAAATACTTGTAGTTCATTATAACAGAATATTTATAGTTGCATATTATAAAGATCTCTTAAATGTTCATACTTCAATTATAGTTGGTATTAGTTTTGTGGAAATTCAGAAGTATTACAAACATGCAATTATTATAATGAAATAGTATATCCATCTATTCTAACATGTGAATCTATTTCTAATTGCAAATTTGGAATGACAACTAAAGGAGAACCATTTTGTTCTTCTTCACCTCTAATATGTGAAAATTTATAATCTTTTTGTTTGAAAGACATTTCAGGATTGCATTGTTACAATGAATTCGATTCAAATGAATGTTTAACTTATACTGGTGAACTGTTTTGTGAGAATGTTTAATCTTTTAGAGTCAATAAGTAATTATGTTTATCAATTATGTAAAATCCCAATAATGATTCTGAATGTTATTACTAAGAGGAAACATAAACATGCAAATTAAAGAATCCTCTCTTAATGATTATAAGTACTGAAGAAATAATCTATGATTATTACTATTGCCTTTTTCAAGATATAGAGTTAATGATATATTACGATGATAGTTAAACATTTTAATATTGTACTTCTTATTCAGAAGGTGAACGAGAAAATTTGAATCTTTATGGATGCACTCAACTCTAAGATTTTACTTATTATTTTGATTTAGAAAAATTTAAATGTTACAAAGATATAACACAACCTTATATTTAGATATCTTTATGTCATTAGATGAATCAATTGTCATGTTTATAAATATAAAATAATTTATCTTGTGTATGGTTAAATAAGAAATGTCATAAGTATAAGAATGAATTTATAAAAATACCTTGTTAAAATAGAAATTATAATTCATGTCTAAAATCATAGACTTAAAAATGTATATGGAATTAAGATACTCTTCAATGTACAGATTGTGAATGTTAAAATAATTAATGTGAATATAGTGAATACTATTGTCAATCTATTAATAAATTATGGAATGGTAATAATTGTTATGAATATAATAAAGATTTACCAATTTCATTTTTCAGATGTGATTAATTAGGCTTAAACAAAGATTTATGTTTAAATTATACTTAAAGTTTAACTTGTTATTGGAATGGATACTACTGTTAAGAAGCAAATCTTTATTTACTTAATTGCTAGGATGAAGTATCATAATAAACTTGTAATTAAATTAAAACACCAAAATAAATTTGTAGATGGATTGACCAAAAATGTCAAAATTAATATTAATCAAATTAATGCAATGATTTCTCTACTCTACAATATTGTAGATAAGCACTTATTAGTTGTTAATTCAATTTATCGTTACACAAATGTGAATAAAAATTAGATAACTCTTATATATGTTCTAACACATTAAGTTATAAAGCTTGTTAAAATGTTCAATATGAATATTGTCAATTTGATGGCTATTGTAATATATGGTATAGGACCAGATATTCATGTGAAAACATAGTAAACTATTGGGGTTGTATGAATACATCAATGTATTGTAAATGGACAGGTTAGTGTGTAAATATAGATGACACCTTTGAACCAGTAGCATGCAATAAAATACCTATAGAAGTAATTTATTAAGATCTAATATTAGTTTAATAAAGTATCATGTAAAAAATACTCCATCGAACCATGTTTATATGATGAAATAAATAAGAAATGTGATATGAAATTGACTAGTTCATTTGAAGGTTCTACCAATATAGATTAGACCAATTATACACAAATTAGATTGATATATGAATGCACTTAATTTATTGATAAAGAAGATTGTGTTGGTAGTAGAATTGGGTATTGTGAATGGTAAGACAATAGATGTTTAAATTGTGAATATAATTAAGGTTGTAAAATTGATAGTTGTGAAAACAAAAGTATTAAATAATGTATGATAATGCATTAATTATTATGTGCATGGAGGAATGATAAATGTATAGATTGGATATTTGATTAATAGAGTTTTACTCACTCTTTAGTAACCTAGAAATGTTGTAAATCAATGAATTCAACAGTAAAATATGTAGAATCTATTCAATCATGTATATAAATTGATATATTAACAGATGAATGTAATACTTTTGGATTATCAAAAATAGTATATATAATATAAATTATTATAGGCATGTTTGTCATTAGTCAATAAATAATGTACTTATAAAGATGATAAATGTATTGATTATATTTTTTAATATAAATCAAAATGCCATGAATATTATGATGTGAACTAATAAGTTTGTTAGTAATTACCTCATTTAAGTTGTAAATATGATGAATTACATAATAAATGCATAGATGTTGATTATTCTAATGACTAATGCATTACTTTAGGGTTATCAAAGATGGGATGCTCTAATATAATTTAAATGCCTTGTTATTGGAATATTCAAAATTAATAGTGCTCCAATTTTTAATTGTAAATGCATATTAATCAATGTGATAATTAAACTGTTACAAATAGTTATACTTGTCGATTATTGAATTATCATTAAGATGTCTGTTCATATAATTTAAATAATAGAACATGCTAATAATAATTCAATCAATTAGCAAAGTGTTCTCAACCAGGATTGAACAGATTGGCATGTTTAAGGTTAATTAATTAACCTTGTTAATATTTGAACAATTAATGTTAAAAGATTAAATCCTTAAATAGTAATTGCAATGAACTAAGAGATGTAAATGAATTAACATGTAAAATGAACACTAATGATCATTGTATTTATGATCCAGTTGTTGGAAATTGTCAACATTCTTTATAATAATTACCATGTAATTACAAAGGTTTAAATATCAATAATTGTAATAGATAGAAAGGATGTAAATGGATACATGATATTTAGTAATGTGTTTGTAAAAGTTAATAAATAAATTCATATTGTGATATGAATGAAAGTGAATGTAAAAATAATTGCATTTATGAACAAGAACTTTAAATTTGTAGACCAAAAAGATGTTTTGATTTAATTAATTGTTAAGGAGTTATGAATGATGAATAGTGTTATTAAGATTAAACTTAAAAATGTTAAGGAGCTAAAAAGTGTGAAGATATTGTTAATTTAAATGATAGTAAAAATTGCTCAGATTTTATGTTTGATAAATCAAATTGCATTTAAATTTAAAATTATTGTGTAAGTGCAAATAATCTTTAATAGATCTGTATTAATAGTGATTGTTCAAATACATCTTGTAAATATGATAATTTTACTTGTCGTCCTTTAATATGTTCAGATTATTAAGAAGAAGAATAATGTTAATAAATATCTAATTGTGTTTATATAAATGGAATATGTAAGTATATATAAACATGTTCAGAAATTGATGATTAATCTATTTGTATAAAAACAAAAGTAAATGAAAAATAATGTTCTTGGGAAATTTATGAAATATATTAAATTGCATATCATTGTACCAATAATTAATGTAATCTGTATAGTAATTCACCTATTTTGTGTAATGGTAATGAGATTAATTAATATTCTTGTTATATGAATGAATTTTAGATATGTTAAAATTGTGAAGATATTATAGATCCATGTTTATGTTCAGCTGGTTGTATTTATTCAAATGGAAAATGTAAATCAAAATTATGCTAAAATTTTATTTAAGAGAAGGATTGTTAAAACACTAAGAATTGTTATTGGAGTACTCAAGATAAATTATGTAGAAAATTTTGCAGGTTTTTAATTTTATAAGAAGATTGTTTAATGTTAGATTATGAATGTCATTGGAATCCTTATTAATATAAATGTGAAGATGGAATTTAAATAGAAATCAATTTAAGTGTTACACTTAATTAGTTTGACAAGTACAGTCAACCTATATTCTAATTCATTCTAATTTTAGTATTTTTTTAATGATATATAATATTACTAATATTATATAAATCATTTTTTTTTGTTCTTAGTCAAATATTCAACAGCTTTCTTAACTCCTTCAGCTTAGAATTTAGCACCTTAATTAATTATGGCTTTAGGAATATCACCTTTTGGATTCATATTACCAATTATTATTATATTTGTTTATCCATTTGGTTATTTTTTTACAATCCATGCTGAAAATACAATCTCTCCTCTTTGAACTCCTTTTACTGCTGGTACTTAAGGATGTTCAATTGATTTTGCTAATTTATTAGATTTAATTTTATACTAATTGTCATAAAATGATCATCACCTAATTTGTATACTCTACTTAATAAACAGAAATCTCTAGCATCAATAAAAAAAGTTGGAGGTTTTCCTCTTGCATAAAATATAAATGTATTTTAATCTAATTTTTCAATCAATCTTCCCTATTAAACATTATTATTTATAATTACTTCTAAAAAATTAGAATCATACTCTTTCTTTCTAGTCATATCAATTACTAAATTAATAAACTCTTCTGGATCTACTGCAGCATTTGTTTCTGTCCTATTTATCTTTAGACCATTTTCAGGATTATTTCTTGTATAAATAATATATCCATCTTTATTAGTATCTAAAGTCCATTGATTTTCTGGTTTGAGTTCGACAATAGATAGAATTTTTGTTTTGGTTTCTTCTAAAAGTTGATCGTAATTGTTTTACATTTTAATTAATTTTAATTTAAAAAGAATTCTGTAGTTCTTAATGAATTTATGTAATAATTATTATATATTGATGAAATTAATTATCTAAATTTAAAATTATGATTAATCATATTCACTTTCATTTCATTATAATGATAAATTTTGAATAACAGCTAACATTAAATCAGTTTATTATTATGTAAATTGATTTCCTAATTATTATGGCATTTATCCTTTCATATCAAAGCATTAAATCAAAACAACTTTTGTGGATCCATTCTATTAAGGAGTAAGAATCCATCCAAATAAATACATTTCTGCCCTTTCTACATTATGAATAGGAGGTTATTTCTAGTGAATAATAGATCTTTCTAAATGTAATTAATATGGAATTATTACAGCATACTAATATCATTCCATTTTCCAATCTATATATCTTTTAATATAACACCAAATCTCTACTGCTCATGAAAGGAATAGGTGGTTTCAATCTGATATATAATAACTTAGAATCCTTATCTATATCTTCAAGCACACTTGCCTAACTAAAATAAATTTATATACATATTCTATTCTTGAATCAGTTTATTTTCTTTTTTCTAAATCAGCAACATATTAAGCTATAAATTCTGGTTGTTTATTAATGAAAGCCTATGTTCTATTAATTTTGGCTCCATTTTCTGGATTTTTCATAACATGTACAGTGTAACCATTCTTATTGACTAATAATTCCCATAAATTCTTTTCATTTATGTCCATAATTTAAATCAATTTATCTTTACACACTAGAATGTATGTCAAAATTACTTTCAATTAAACTCTCTGGATTTATAACAATCATAAGATGAAATTAAATAAATTAATATTAGTAATAATAATATTTTAAAACTATGAAATAGTGCTAGCACTATTAAATAATTATTCACTTGGATATGTAAGGTAATCTTTGTTTGTTATTTTTTATTTATTATTATTAATATAAAGTATTTAGAACAATCTGATTATCTTTATCAAATAATAATCTACAATTTTTAATTGGCTATTCAGCATCAACTTAAGTTTAACCAGAACAATTATTAGGTAAGTTTTATTTAATAATAATTTCTTCATCTTCCTTTATCTCAATTTATTACATTTATAGAATTTAATTCTTTATTTGATAAAAGTCCCTATTCTATTGGCCATTAATTATCTTGGTTTCTTTGTCAATGTTCCATCTTCAAATAAAGATTTGAATCATATAAGCATCCATCTAATATTGGATAATCAAAATGTTGAAATTGTTAATTGAGCACTATCCTAATTATTTAAGAAAAGGATATATGCAAAGGCTTAATTTAGATTTGAATTAATATCCAAAGTACACAATCAAATTTGATTAATAATTCGATTAAATTCATCTCCTTATGTACCAGAATTTATCTATATTGAATTCATTGCTTAAAATAAAGACTATTGTCTTTCAATATTATTCTTACTGATTCATATAATTCTATGTAATTGAAATTATGAGCTGAACTTTAATTGGAATGTAAAATCCTTAATATTATTTGAAGAATTTCAAATGATTAAACTGATTTATATAAGAGTAGTCATTTCTAAAACATCTATGGTAAAATTTAAACTTTGTTAATCCAATCACTTGAACATCAATTATTATTTTAATAACTATTATTTATATAAATATAGATATATATTCATTGCTCCAATAAAGTTTATTATTTCTTTTTTGGTTTTGTAATTGAATCTATAATCTTAACTTGTAGAGTTCCAAATGGCATTTCAACTAGCAATGTTAGAAATATTCCTGCAATCATTGTTATAACTATACAACCAACAAATAATTAAATAACATCTAATGTAAGGTAAGTAGGAGTGATATAAAATGTGTAATTCAATATTAATAATACCATATAATGAATTAAATAACAAGCAAATGATATTTTTGCAGCAAACTTAAAAAAAGAATTATTCATAGCTTTTCTGTTGAATCTAAAGATATAAATTAATAATTACATATCATAAATTCCTATCATATTGGGTAAACATAAACATGCAACTCCAAAAACAAAAGTTAATCTACAAAGTGCACAATATAGATGTTGAAACCAGTATGGCCAATAAGTAGGATCTGATGCTATATAGGCTTACTTCCATCCAAAAACTAACCAAGAAATTATTCCAAATCCTAATAGATAACATATAATTTAAAATAGCAATTTAAACTTTGGATCTTTTGCTTTTTCATGCAATAATCCCAAAAAACTGTTTTACTCTTTTTATTTAAATTCTCTATAAAGCATACCCATAAATAATCCAAAAAAATAAGGAGGAGATCTAGCTAAACTATTTACATAATATGTATAATAGAAATCTTTATTTCCTGTTACTTTTGCAGGGATTAAAAAATCATAAATGAAGCATAAAACTATTCCATAAATTACAGAAGAGATTATCATACCAATAATCAAATATTTTGTTACTCTTTTATAACCGAGAGCATAAAGAGTCATTGGTATTAAACAAATAATAAATAATTAAATATCTGAAGTTAGATACCAACCCCACCCAAAACAAATTTACCAATCATGAAAAAAATTATCAATAAAGAGAAGATTTCTCCAAGCTCCTTCACTACAAGTTGTATAATTCATTGCTGACCACCATCTTGGTCCTTCTCCTAAGTAAGGTAATAAGTATGAATTAAACATAATACATAAGATATAGCAAGGCCATATTCTTAATAATCTATGCAATATAACTAAGAATATTGATATTGGATTCTTTGCCAATGCCTTAGCTCTTTTTGTTTCGCACATAACAAATGCCATAAAAAATCCACCAAGCCAAAAAAATACATCTACTGAATATAACATATCTACTGTAATTATGGCTCTTTAAGATTATAAAGCTTATAATAATTCCATTTGATATGTAGATTAAATTATTAATAATGCTGAATGTCCATAAACAACCATCATAAATGCAATAGATCTAACTCCATTAAAAATAGCCAAATTTGGATCTATTGTTTTAAGATCAATCAATTTATTATAATTTTCAATTAAAGAAAAATCAGCAATAATTCCTTTTGGTTTTTTTGTTTAAGAATTAGTTAATAAATCTAGTAATCTTTTATAAGGATCCATGAATCCTAAACAAAAAAGAATAAAAATGATAATAATAGTTGAATAAGCACCAATTCTAAAATCTGGATAATGTGTTACTGGATCAACAAAGATATAACTAGCAGAACCAAAATTAATCTAGATAATAAATTTCAATTGATTACAGGTAATATTTTTGAGATTATACTGTTTCCTAATTTATCCTTTATAATTTCTTATGCATCAGGTTAATTAAAATCATTTGCCTCACAGATATTTGTATGACAAAACCCATAAAAGAATGTCATAGGATCTGATTTAATCATAACTGATGAATAATGATACTCTTCTCTCAAACACATTTCATAATATCCAAATTTATTTGCCCAATCTCCTGACATTTATATTTACCTATTTGCCACTATGAATTATAAAGGCATAGGTAAACTAAGATATTCATTCAATTATTAGACACATAATTCATGATTACTTAATCCTAAATGGAATATAGAAGCAAATATTATTAATAACATTGTTATTATTCTTGAGATTGCATTTTCTTTTATTTTATGATTTTGTACAAATTCTATGTTGTGGAACTTATTATTTAATAATTTTCAATTCATATTCTGTATATAATTATTTATATTTATCAACTCAATTTAATTGATCTAACTTCTTCTATTCCATATCTAGTTCTACAAACAGGACAAACTCTATTAAAATTTCTTTAATTATCTTCTTCTATACAAGGTTTACAAAACATATGTAGACACTTCATTAAAATTTACTTATTTAACTCTCTTTTTACATTATTAACTATCAACTATCATTTACATTGATGACCACAAATCACTTTATGTATCCTTAGATTCTCTATAATTTATATAATATAATTACGATATTAATTACAATTTTAGTTATTTCAATTTACTTTTTGATTTCTCTGCTTTTTTCATAAATTTTACATTAATAGAATCACTAAATTTCTCCCTTTCTTAAATAATCTTACATTCTTCAATCATTTTATTTATATACCATTCTTTTTATAATAGTTTTTGTATATTATCAGTATCTTGCTTTTATAATAATCTTATTGTATCTTTGTTGCTCTATCTTTCATTCTCAAAACTAGTTATCAATTTTCTGTAAAATTCATTTTATTATTGTAATGATTTGATAGTTTCATCTGTCACCTAACATTTTTAATTATATTACCAGATAATTTAATATATTTACAGCTTTTTCAATTTCATATTTGATTCTTTCATCTGCATTTTCTTACATAGCTCTGCTTAAATTATTCTAAGTTTCATTTACTAATTTACTTAGATTCTTATTTTTATCTGTGAGACAATTAAAAGAATTCGTATTGTAATCTAATTCATCAATAAGCTATTAGATTTACTATGATGATCATCATTAGTACATTTTTGATATTATTTTAATCAATAATCTTGTTATCCAATAATTATTATAAACTTTTGACTTTCTTATTCTATTTAAAATAAAATTTATTTATGGTTTTCATATCTTAGAGTCACTTATTCAATCTTCTCTTCTGTTAACATTATTTTATAAACACTCAAAGTTTACTTCAATTCATTATTTTAACTTAATAAGGATTATTTTTAATTGATTGCATCTAATAAATTATTATTAATATCTATATTTCTATCTCTACATTATTGTAATTCTATTTTCAATTCTTCTATAACTTTAGAAAAGTTTTCCATTTATGATTATAATTGTTCTACTTATTTATTTTGTATTTAATCATCCGTTTATTTGATTTCAATTTTGATAATCTCTTATTATATCATGAGATCTTTAACTTTCTATTCACATTCTGATTATAACTGCTATATTTATATTTAAAACTTTTCTTATTATTCATTATTCATTAATTAACCCTTTTTAAATTAATACTACTATGTACTTATACAAGTTAATCTTCAACATTAAATAATGTAAAAGTTAGATAATTATTTTATTGGACCAAATCAACAAATAGAGTTGTTTAAAAAAATGATTCTTATACTAATTTTTATTGTAATTTTAACTCTTCTATTTAATTTAGTAATTGAGATTTCTCTTCTGAATGCTAATCAATCAATTATTTAATATAATCACTAAAATTGATATTAGTTTATCTACTGTTATTATATCTTATTAAATTTTGTATATTCTTCTTATACTTCCTAAACCTATTCTTATAATTAATGTATCTATAATGATTATTTCTAGTTTTCATTAATTGATTGTGTCAATTTAATTATTACCACATAAGCATTCAAAGGTTTCTTCTTGTAAATCATTTTAGATAATCTTTTTTTCAATTGCTTTTTCATTATAAGCCATAATGATTCGAATTCTTCGAGAAAGCTAATTACATAATTTTCTATAGTGTATTAACTCTTCTTATTTAATTTACTCATTGTCTTTTTATTTTGTAAGCTATCAACTAGATATTTTGGATTGTTGATATCGATTTCATTTCTTAAATATGTTTGTTTTAATTAATCAATTTTTGAGCTTTTAAGATGTTTTCACCTAATTCTGTTACTCTCTATAAATCAAAGGTTTTTTTTGGTTTCATATTTAAATATTTAATAAATTTTTATATCGAAGTGATTTCATTCATTTTTGTTATATAAGTAATTAAAAATAGTGTAATATTGATAATTAAGTATTAGAGACTAATATATATNTTAGTACATTTTTGATATTATTTTAATCAATAATCTTGTTATCCAATAATTATTATAAACTTTTGACTTTCTTATTCTATTTAAAATAAAATTTATTTATGGTTTTCATATCTTAGAGTCACTTATTCAATCTTCTCTTCTGTTAACATTATTTTATAAACACTCAAAGTTTACTTCAATTCATTATTTTAACTTAATAAGGATTATTTTTAATTGATTGCATCTAATAAATTATTATTAATATCTATATTTCTATCTCTACATTATTGTAATTCTATTTTCAATTCTTCTATAACTTTAGAAAAGTTTTCCATTTATGATTATAATTGTTCTACTTATTTATTTTGTATTTAATCATCCGTTTATTTGATTTCAATTTTGATAATCTCTTATTATATCATGAGATCTTTAACTTTCTATTCACATTCTGATTATAACTGCTATATTTATATTTAAAACTTTTCTTATTATTCATTATTCATTAATTAACCCTTTTTAAATTAATACTACTATGTACTTATACAAGTTAATCTTCAACATTAAATAATGTAAAAGTTAGATAATTATTTTATTGGACCAAATCAACAAATAGAGTTGTTTAAAAAAATGATTCTTATACTAATTTTTATTGTAATTTTAACTCTTCTATTTAATTTAGTAATTGAGATTTCTCTTCTGAATGCTAATCAATCAATTATTTAATATAATCACTAAAATTGATATTAGTTTATCTACTGTTATTATATCTTATTAAATTTTGTATATTCTTCTTATACTTCCTAAACCTATTCTTATAATTAATGTATCTATAATGATTATTTCTAGTTTTCATTAATTGATTGTGTCAATTTAATTATTACCACATAAGCATTCAAAGGTTTCTTCTTGTAAATCATTTTAGATAATCTTTTTTTCAATTGCTTTTTCATTATAAGCCATAATGATTCGAATTCTTCGAGAAAGCTAATTACATAATTTTCTATAGTGTATTAACTCTTCTTATTTAATTTACTCATTGTCTTTTTATTTTGTAAGCTATCAACTAGATATTTTGGATTGTTGATATCGATTTCATTTCTTAAATATGTTTGTTTTAATTAATCAATTTTTGAGCTTTTAAGATGTTTTCACCTAATTCTGTTACTCTCTATAAATCAAAGGTTTTTTTTGGTTTCATATTTAAATATTTAATAAATTTTTATATCGAAGTGATTTCATTCATTTTTGTTATATAAGTAATTAAAAATAGTGTAATATTGATAATTAAGTATTAGAGACTAATATATATCTATAATATTGTGGATTACTAAGTTATGATTTGAATAATATTAAAAGTTTAATCAATTAATATAGATGATCTTCCTATTAAGATAATAGAGGAATATAATATACAAATTATGTAAAATATTGATAAAATGATAAATCCTTAAATTTTATTAATTTGAAAACATTTATACCACAAGAATATTTATTTTATTCTTAGAAGGGGGTCCATAGATGTTCTGAGGAAATTAGTCCATTCCAAAATCTCTCTATCTATTCATATTTATTAAATAAACATAATGGAATAGGATCTAAAAGGAGCTGCCATCTAATCTCTATAGACAACTGATGATACTGCTAGGACTAAGCGACCATATAATAAAATTTCTTAAGAATTACGTGCATAAATTTTACATGCTTTAACTGTTGAGAAAATCCCTCTTTCTGAAGTAGCAATTTGAATGAGACTTAGGTGGCATAAAAATATCAAACTAAACCTTGCACATGCAAAGCCATTTTGCTTACTTATGAATTGGAGGGGAGAAGTGAAAAGAAAACTTCTAGAAGAGAAAGAGTTGAAATAGAATCGAAAATTAGAATAGTTATATTGGATCCTTTTGGTAATAAGCATTCAAATTATGAAAATTCTGTATTTTCAAAAGTATGTACTTTAGATTTCATATATAAAAATAGCTATATACAGAAGACAAAGAACTAAGTACAAACGAAGAATTTAATATTTAGAAAAAGGTTATACAAGAAGTGAGTTAGCAATTAGGTGAATTATAGACGAGTTGTTATCATTTACAATCTCAATAGAGTTAAACTCAAAATGATGAACATGCTCCTGATAATATTTTAAGAGGACTAAATATGGGTTTGCATTTGGTTACATCCAAACTTAGAGAAAGTTAAATTACATTTAACAAGAAAACAAATAAAGAAGTAAAGGAGACTAATAAATAATCTAATAAAGTGAATAATTATATTAATAAGAATGAAATACCATTTTAAACAAATTACACCTAAATTTAGTAATTTTTGAAGAATGTTGAAATCAAATCAGAAAGTAATCCTTACATTTTAGATCAATTGAACCAATTGACTAATCAAACTATATTATAAATGAAATTAATCTAAAAAATTTAGTAAAGAGACTAATAAATAAGATAATTTCAATAATAAGTGGGTATAATCATTAGAAAATGTTTCGAATGCCAATCTTGATTATATTTATGAATTATTTCTATTATTCATATTCATAATTTAAATAATAATATTATTGCTGTTCAATTTCAATCCATTATTTCTAAAAGAATTACAAAATTATTCTATTTTCAAGGTTTAATATATATATAATTATTTCGAATTAGAGTATTATAGCAATCTCTTACTATTATTATATAAATAACTCCATCAACTCATTTAACATTTGATATTTTTCTAAAATTTTATTATATTTAATAAACCTAAATGAAAAAGTTTAATTTCTTAAAATACTAGTTCAGCACCTTATTCGAATATCAAAATCTAAGTTAAAGAAATAAATTAAATGAGTATAAATAAGGATTTCTGATAAGTAAAGACTTTGAGTCTTACTACAATTATATTAAAGTAACAAAACAAAATATATGATTAAGATTCTTAGTAGATTAAAGATGTACGATGAAATATTATAAGCCAAAAGTAGTGTACCTATATTTAAACAAATCTAATTTTGGAGAGAACCAAAAAACAAAGTAATTAAAGATTGGATTCGATAAGCATAAGATGAATATTATAACTAAAATCCATAAGACTTACCATTACCTTGGTTTGTAAAATATCCAATCATTTTTTTCATTTCTTATGAAGTATTCTCTACAATATTTGATGTTGACATAGAAATTAGTTTGAATATTATTCCAGAAGAGAAGGAAGTAAAAAAAACAACAGGATTTAAGGATGTAATAGGAATAGATGATTATAAAGAGGAATTGTAGGAAGTAGTTGATTTTCTAAGAAACCCTAGTAAATATCATGAATCAGGAGCAAAATTGCCAAAAGGTATATTACTAGTAGGTAGACCAGGAACAGGAAAAACTTTGTTAGCAAGAGCTTTGGCAGAGGAAGCAGGTTGTACATTTTTGTACAAATCAGGAGCTGAATTTGATGAAATGTTTGTAGGAGTAGGTTCATCTAGAGTGCGTTAATTATTTTAAGAAGCACGATAAAAATAACCATGTATAATTTTTATTGATGAAATTGATTCTATCGGTGGATCAAGAGGAGGTGATGATCCAAAGAGATATGGAACTATTAATCAAATTTTAACTGAGATGGATGGATTTAGATAAAATGAGGCAATTATTGTTATTGGAGCTACAAATATGGAATAATCATTAGATGCTGCACTTACAAGAGCAGGAAGATTTGATAAGACTATTCATATAATGTTACCTGATATTAAGGGTAGGAAACAACTGTTTGAATATTATTTAAAGTAAATAAAACATGCTGATATTGATACTCAATTACTTGCTAGATAGACTACAGGATTGACTGGAGCAGATATTGAAAATATTGTAAATATAGCCATTATGAATGCAGTAAAAGAGAAACGATAAAAAGCATTAGCAAATGACTTTTAACATGCTATTGATAGAACTAGGATGGGAATAAGATATAAATTGACAGATTAAGATAAGATTTTAACAGCATATCATGAAAGTGGACATGCATTAATTAATCTCTTAACAGAAAACACAGTACCATTGGATAAAGTAACCATTTTACCTAGAGGAAGTGCTTTAGGTTATACTTCAATGGTTCCAAAAGAGGATACTTTATCATAAACAAGAGGTAATATTCTAGCTGCTATTGATGTTTGTATGGGTGGTAGAGCAGCAGAAGATATTAAATTTGGTAAAGATAACATTTCATCTGGTTGTGGTTCAGATTTGGCTAATGCTACAGCCATGGCATATGCTTATGTAAAAGATTTAGGAATGGGGGATACATTGATTTCAGATGCATAAACAAGCAAAAAGTTTAGTTATCTTGTAGACTTGCAAGTGAAATAATTATTAGAAGTAATATATATAAATATAAATATTTATAGGAATCTTATAATAGAGTCAGAAATAAATTAGAGTAAAATTAATAGGTGCTGTCAAGATTTGCTGAAGAATTATTGAAACATGAAACAATGACGGCTGATTAATTGAAACGTTTATTATGATTATTATTTATTAATACCATATTAATTTAGAGAGAAATATAATCAATTTTGTTGAAACTATCAACTGATGTATTATCCTAATATTCGGTCTAACTAATTTTATAAATTATCTTAGTTCTCCTTATTATTAAATGGTTTTATGTAGGTTTCTTTGAGGTTGACTTCATTATACTCTGAAAATTGAAATTTATTTCGATTCTCAGCTATATTTGTTTCTTATCCTGTTAAAATATAATCATTTTATTCTGGTTCTATTACCAATTAATATTATGGTTTTTCTTTCTTCTTCTTAACTGTAATTAAATTAGTTTCTGTTGAACTCTATCCTTGTTATCCTTAAAATTATGGTGAAACTGGTTAAATCTCTTACTCTTAATTTTCAGCATCTAACAAAAAAGAATTTTTGTTTTGATAATGATATTTCTAGACCTACCTTTAATTAAATTTATAGGATGTAGTCTTTTTTAGTAAAGAATTTGTTTTAGGTTCTTCTAAAAAGGAATGTTTCAATAGTTCATCTGCTGTAGCTCTTTATTTAGGGTCAATCTACAAACATTTAGAAAGAAAATCTTTAGCTTCAGGAGATGATAATTATGATGGTATTGGAGGTGGTTATGTAGATTTACCTATCTTCACCATAACAGCAATAGCATCTTTATATTCAGAATATGGAGGTTATCCAGTAGCCATTTCTATTATTGTACAACCAAGACTCCAAATATCTGCCTTTTTTCCATATTATTCTTGATTAATTACTTCTGGAGCCATAAAATTTGGAGTTCCACATATAGATCCTACAGTATCATGAGTTATATCACTCAATTACTTACTGCTGCCAAAATCTACAATTAAGATTTAAATTACCTGCTAGTTTACACCTACCAGAATTGTCAATTAAAATATTTCCTCCTTTTATATCTCTATGAATAACATTCTTTGCATGTAAATAACTTAATCCTAACAGTATTTATTTCAAATATGTTTTTATAAGTCTCTCTCTAAAACATCCAAATCTTTCTAACAATGTTTATACTGAACCTCCACTTACATATTCTAGAAATATATTTATGAATTAGTTTTTTTATTCACATCCTATATAACGCACTATATTTGGATGTTATAATCTACTTAACATTTCAATTTCTTTTTATAATTGTTTCACTTTCTATAATATTAACATCTAATACATCATCATTTTGATTCTAAATAAAAACTTATTTCACAGCCATTATTTGTCCGTTCTTCTAGAGTCCCATTACAACTTTCCCAAAAGCACCTTATCCAATTACTTCCCCTTATTCCCATTGATGAATACTTTATATAATATTTAATAAATAATACTCTTAATCTGATTTAAGTGAGTGTCTCTCTAGCTCTTCTTCTTTGTTATCAATTATTATAACTTCCACATCTTAAATAAATGATTATTCAAGTTCCTATTATTTGATATTTTGATTATTGGTATTCATGTATTCATAAGCTTTTGTAGGTTTGAGTTGGTTCTTTTTTTTTGTAAAGCAGCAACCCATATTTTATATATTTTTAATTTTATGTTAAATTACATATATAAATATTTGAAGGTTGAAATACATTAATTAAAGAATTGAATAATTTTAGACATAAGATAATTTATATATAAATTAAGAATGATATAATCTAGTAAAAGTGAAGTCATTAATTTAATAAATGAAGTCATTAAGAAATACCATTTAAATCTTAATTAATTATAATATCATATTAATTATAATGTAATACAGTATATTAATAGTATTTATGTCCTTTGTTCCAAGTTTCAATTATTTAACAGAAGTTGAAATAGACTTGAGTATTGAACCAAAATAACGATGGAAATAAGCAATTCGTATCATAATTGAATAATATGGATATGAAAATTCTTTTGGTTAAGTTTTTGAATTTCATAATAAAAATACATTCTATATACTTGATCCATAAGACTATAGTACAATAGCTAAAACAATAAGAATAAATTACCCAGAATATTCATAAGAATTAGATGGAATTGTAGAAGAATTAAATAGAAGTGAAATAACCTTTGAATATTTATCTGCTTGGGCATATTTCTATGAAATTGCCCATATATCAACTGACATCACTGAATCTACTGGACTTCTTTTATAAGTTGGTGATTAAATTATACATGGAAGAAATATGGATTAAGCCCCAATTTAAGCTAGAAATATTATTTTACATTTGATCATTAAGAAAGATGGATAATATTTAGGTGAATCAGTCGAATGGAATTGGTTTAACGTAGGATTCATTACTTTATTAAAATACAATGTTGCATCACTTGAATAAAATTGGAGATTTTGTAATCCTTTAACCAAAAACCAGTTAATGATCTTTATTGAATAAGGAGTATCTTCATTAGCATGGACTTATAGATAAATTTTATTAGATGAAAATATGAACACTTTCGATAAAGTTGTCTCATTTCTTGAACAAAATTAAGTAGCTAGTTCTTTTTATAATGTAATTGGTGGAAAAGAGAAAAATTAGGGAGTGATCATCTCAAGAGATCCATTCATTATGTATCCAACCATTAGTTTGAATACTTCAATACTAAATTAAATCAATTATTAATATTTGGTTTAAACAAATTATGATCATTGGTTACCTGACCCTTAGAATGATCAAAGAAGAACAATAGTTGAGAACTTATTAGCTTAATTGTAAATAAATCAATGGAATGAGTTTGGAGTGTTTGCTGTAATGGAAACTTATCCAATTCATAATGAAGGAACTTTCTATACTATTATAATGAATGCTAAATATAATAGATTGATAGCATTTGGATAACCCAATATGACATAAACTGAAAATTGATATTTAAATAATATTAGTATATAATTATCAAAAAGGTTATTCAAAAACATTCTGAGATGGTAATATTATTATCAAAAACTATTTTATTGTTAAAGAAAATTATTGAGAAAATTTATAATCTCAAATTATATTATAATAATATTAAACTCTTATGACTGATATTCAATAAACAACTGAAATAAGATTTACAACCTAATCTCCAAATAGAAGTTACAATCCTATGAATACATCAATTTAATTCATTCCAGATCTAACCCAAGAAAATCTGACAGAATAAGTTCTTTATTCTTAAAAAGAAACCATAAAAAAGGGCATTCTTAAAACATTTTACTATGAGGTACACAATGCTTTAACTAATTTAGGATTTAAAAAGGAAAAAGATTATTGGATGTAATATTTACGTGAATAAAATGAATGAATAATAATTGTAATTATCTAAACGAGGAAGTATTGAAAATCAAATTTTAGTAGGATAATGCAGAATTTGTATGGCTGAAGAAGAAACTTCTAGATTCATTTCTCCTTGTACTTGCAAAGGAACTTTAATGTTTGTGCATGAAGAATGTCTAAAATTATGAATTTTATAAAAAAATTGTATTGAAGAAGTATTCAAAGAAAAGGTAATTTATTTAGTTAAACTTCAATAGGTTAAATGCGAATTGTGTTCTTATAGATTTAGAATGAGAATGTAAATTGTTAATAGAATAGATTTAAAAAGATTCTCTTAAGTACCATCTCCTTAAAAGATATGCTGGTTAATATATTTACTTTTAATTATTTCCCTAATAAGTGGATTTGTTGGTACATAACTATTTAATATAGCTTTATATATGGAATACTAATTATCTAATATTGGAGTGGATGCAGCGAAGACCCTTATGATAATTTTGTCCTTGATTTTATTTGTCTATTTTTTGGCTAGCATTTTAACTTCTCTTTAATTGGAAATGATTGAAAATTGGACACTATGTTCATATAAACCTAGAAGAGACACTAAATAAGGTAGCATTTTTTAGTTATAATCTAATATGGGAAATAGTGTTTCTGGAAGTAATTCAGCTGAAAGGAGGAGAATTAATCAATTATACCTGTCCACCTCAAATCGCAAATTTCTAAGTTATTTAAATCAACCCATTAATGTCAAGTGTTAATCTTACAGATCAATGAACAATTTTCAAATTATTTACTTTTTTTTATTATAATTTTTCTCCATATGGCAAATAATGAGAGTAATGATACATCAACATAAAACAGTAAATTTGGTCATTTGAATTCCTCCGTACAAATCCTAAATGAAAGTATAAGTATACAAATGCCATAATTCAGACAAAAAGTGCTTAAAACTGTACATTCAAAAGTAAAATTTTCATTAATAAAGGATGTTGCGAGAAGGAAATAAATTGCTTGCCATATTTATATTAATGATCTAGATTCTGTTCCTGGATATAAAGCATTAAAAAGTATATTTTAATCTTTAAACAGAACAAATATGTAGAATATGTATTTGTGAAGAAGAATCCTCTAAATTTATTACTCCATGTAAATGCAAAGGAACCTCAGAGTTTGTTCATTAAGAATGTCTAAAAATGTGGATTCTAGAGTAATATGGAGTTAATAAAATCTATAATGATGAGGTAATTGATTACCATCTAATCTTGTTAAGTTATATTGCGAAGTTTGCTAACATAAATTTGAATTTGATGTAGATTTTAATGACAGGTTCGATATTACATAATTTTAAAGAATAAAAAAGAAAACAAAACTTTGTTGGCTTATTCAAATATTTTTCATCATTCTATTTATTTTTGGATCTATTGAAATTGCTTTGTAATTTGGTATAAACTCTTTGGCAACAGTTGCGATTATTGTTGTATTTGGTCTCATAACAATATCATTAATTATTTACTTGATTTTCAATTTTAGTACTGCTCATACTATTTAAATGATTGAAAATTGGAATTTCCAGAATTATAAACCAAAACCTTCTCCATCAATGCCCAAAAAGAACACCAAGAAGATAACCAATCATTTCATTCGAGTCAATTAAATATATTTTACTTGAATAATATAATTTATAAAAATTTAATTCAGAATCATTCAAATGTTAGGATTACCTCAAAAAAAGTGCCAACTATTGTTTAAAGAGTAGATACCTGTTAAAAAAAAGAGTTCATAACATGTAAAATTGAAGACTTTAACTTTGAGTAATTGGAAATCAAAAGAATTGACATCACAATTATTAAGTCCAATAAAATATTAACCACCTCCAATTATGGAACCTAGAAGTTAATCAAGAGCTAATTTCTTTTAATCTTAACATATAATCATAAAAATATTAGATGGAAAATCAAACATTATAAAAAAGCAATATTTCAATTTTTGATAATATCTGTCAATGAATATTTTTTTGTTAAATTTGAATTATATCTATTAGAAATAAGATATATAAATCATTTTGAGATTTCATAATCATTTTTTTGAAAGTGTAAAATATAATTGGTTGAAAAATTAAATAATATGAATTTTACTTATCCAAATACTATTGATATTCTTAATTCTCTATAAACAAGCTTTTAATTTTAATGATAAAATTCTAATACTTAATTTAATTGCTTAGTTTTTTTAGAATAAATACTGTTTTGGTAATATATAGTATATTTTAAAAAATTCTTTTGTAATCTTTAAAAGTTGATCATTTAGGGTAAATTTTGAAAAAAAATAATAACATATCAAAAATGAGTGTTAATTATATAAATTATGTTAAAAAAATTCTATATTCTGCATCTTATCTGTATTTGCAGGACATGTTAGAAAAACTCATAAACAATTACACAATAAAAACACCAGAAAGTTTAATAGTGCCTTTTTTGAATTTGAAAATTTAGGTTAAAAGGATTATCATCTAAGTAATAAAGAAGCTTGTAAATTATTGAAATATTATTAGAACATTGGGCTCAAATTACTGCTGATTTGAATAGTAACACTAAAAAACACTAATCCTTAATAGAAGCTTATTCTGAATATATTCCAAGAGTTGTTTGGAATGTAGCTGATCTTTCTAAGAATGTAGGTGTATATTCCTACACAGTTACAGATATTAACGGAAATATTTTTGAAACAGAAAAAGGAGATCATTTAGCTCAACAATTAAATACTGCTTATCTTGAAATGACTTCAAAAATTTAAGATTCCTCATCTTTATAAGTAAAAGATAACAACCAAATATGAGATTTTAATAGATGTAATATTAAATTAAATATTCCTATTATCTTTAATTTATTTTTGTATTAATTTTATTTCTTTCTATTCCATTTTGTTTGGATCCTAAATTATTATACTAGAATTTATAATATTTCAAATAGTTTCTATTTATAAATAATAACATATTATTTTGAATATCTAAGTGAAAGTATTTATTATTACTCACTTATATATAAATAAGTTATCATTGATATAATACAGAAAATGATGCTAATTATTATTTAATAAATAATCATAATATAATTTATAATTATTGTATTGAATGATAATTCTTCAATGTTTCTTTTTTCTCCATGAATTCACCTTGTCTGTGAGCCAATCTTAAGTTAAAAGAGTAATCATAGTGTGAGGTGCAATTCTGAAATAAAATGTTGGAAATCCTACCCAAAGTCCGACAATGCCTTCTCTTTTAGCTGTCTATGAATATTCATTTTTCTTACTTTTCCCATAGCATCAAAAATTGAAGAATATGGATATACACCTGCTGCATCCTTTTTCATTTTCTACATTTTTGTTTTTGCATTATCAAAAGGTAATGCACAAAATGAACTTAAAAAGCCAGCTGCTGCAGATGCTCTATTATAAATATAATTTAACAAATTACAATAATCGAGTTTATTGAGTATCTTTGGTTCCAAAATAGTGATTTAATCGTTCCTTTATCTCATCATATGGTCCCAACATTGCTACATTAATAACAACTGCTCTAATAACTGTTGGGGTGGATCCTCTCCATAATGCTACTATCCCTTCATCTTTCACAATTTTATAAAATGCATCAAAAACATTTTTATATCCTCTTCTTTCTTCAACAGGTAATGTGCTATCTGCCTAAATTCTGACCAAAGCTAAATCAGCTGGATTACCTGCCAATGATCCAATAAAACCTGCTACAATTGAACACCAAGATTTAGCTAAAAATGAAGGCTCTTTTCCATTATTTGCTTGTTTTGATCTTTAGTACATTGTCTTATAAATTCCCATACGAGTGGTAGTGTAAAATACTTATCTAGCTAATGCTGAATCAATTCCTTTCCAAAAACTCAACACACCTCCTTCTTTTAAGATTTCAGAGAAGACACGAAATGGACTGATCTCGCTTCCTGCATTAGGACCCAATTTTTCTGATTTGAGTTGGATTCTAACTTTTACTAAGTCGACTGGTTAAATAAAACACGTAGCCACACATCCAGATAAACCACCTATCCCAAATGGTTATAAAGTATCAGTAATTTTAGTCAGCCAATGCTTCTCAAGAACGTTTTCACCCATATTTGATGCGTATTATTGTATTTAATATGAAAATTAACAAATGATATATATTTTGTAATAAATCCAAATATTTATTATATAAATAATTCATTTTCCTAAACATTAGCTCCTTCTGTAATAAATTCTAGAGATTTATTTTTTTTAATTCATTAATCAATTTTAACAATCTTGAATCTATTTGAAATTTAGTTTAACAATTTTAATAAGAAATGCATCTAATTAAGTTAAATCAAATGAGTTTTTACCATCATCATAAACTATATATGAATTTCACTTGTATTTCTACATTTATTCAATTGGTTTAATTATCAAAAATCGCAATTTCCTTACAAATACTAGATATGAACTTTTGTTATGAATTGCCTACTATAATCAAATTCTTTAATTATTGAAATAAACTTAAAAAATTTATTAGTATGTTAAAATTTGAATGGATTTTTGGTGATATTGATAATTCAATATTTTTCTAAGTTATTTGAATTGATTTTATGTAATTCATATTTAAAGTTTAACATTTATAACATTAGTTCATTAATAAAGTATATGATATTGATGAAATCAGTATTTTTATTAGTGGATATGGTAATAAGCAAAACCTTAAAATAATTTTAAATTCTGCTGACTCTATGTAAAAGTACATTAAAGACGAAAAATACCTTCATCAATTTAAGACAAAAAGTAACACCTAATCAAGGACCAGTTTTCTTGAAGATTGTTAAAGAGAGAGAATTGCAATTTAATAATGATTTATGATGGAGTTGGCATAAAAGCTGGAATATTCCAAATATATCTGTAAAAATTATTTTGTAAAAGAAAATGCACATAATGGATCAATTTTTAGGTATCTTATCTAAGTCTAACCTTAGGTGTAATTAATGGTTGTAAAGGCATTGTAAAATGATCTTTCTGAAGAGATATGATTAGAATGAATTACTAAATACGATATTGTAAATGATAAAGCATTCATTTTGGTATTTTTCTATAAAAAAATTAAGGGATTTAAGCTTAATAGTACTCCTTATAATCACCAAAGGCCATAGATTGTAGTTATTGATATTACTAAAAGAAGAAGAGAACATAATTGTTGTGTTACAATCACCACCTGTTTTCATAGACAGTAGAAAAAGTACTCATGATGAACACAGAAAAATTTGATATATCTAATCTTTCTAACCTCTTTATTTAGAGCGTAATTTCTGTAAAAAGGAAAAAAATTTTAATAATGTTATTGATGCCTCTATAGAAAATAATGAAAATGGATTACATAATTATTTAACGGCTCCAAATATTAAAAATAAGGTATTAGTTCTTATATATAAAAGATAAAGCATCCCTTATTTATGGCACTTAAATTTTCTAGATAGTTTAAATATTTACTATTAAGATAATTTAGAAACTGATAATTATCTTATTGAATTGTTTTTTTAAATCGCTGGCAAAATGTAAATATGTTTTTTAGTCTAATAATAATAGAATTAAAAGGAAGGTAATTTTTACTATTCAATTTTAGATTGAGGAATCTATTACTTTACTAATTGTCTAAAGTAAGGTTTTAGTCCTTGAAAAAAAATCTCTTGATGAATCTAAGTTTAAGAAGCTCGAATTTTCATGAGATGATTATAAATAAATTTATCCTTAATTATAAAAATTTATGAATTCAACTTCACATTATTAAGACTTTGCATATGTGAATTTGTTATAATAGTAAAAATAATAAACATTATTATCAATTAGCTAGAATAATAATAATAAAATTAATAATAATAATAATATATTGAAAAAACTTATTATCAATAAGAACCATCTAAAATTTTAACTCATTCAGAAACAAAATCTGCTTTTACTACAAAGTATCTTGATAAATTACCTAATAAAACTTCGAAGAAGAGAAATTAGAATAACAAAAAAAAAGGAAAAGTTTAATAATAATAGAAATATGGAAAATCATGATCAAGTTTAAAAATTGGTTAAAATTGAGCATAATCTTAACTAAAATAGAATAATTCAACAATAAATAAAGTTAAATTAAATAAATTTGATTACTCATTAGTTTTCAATCATGTTACAATAATTAATACTAGAATAAATTCTATAATATTATTTAATCTTCAGTAGCTAATGCTGCTCCAAAACTCTCCTTCTGTATGATATATTTCAATTTCAATCTATATTACGAATCAACCTAAGAAATGAAAGCTTATTCGATCGATTTCTATCATTAGATTTCTTAATTGTGTTCTGAAATAAGAAATATAATTTATTAATAATTTCATGAATTTCAATCTTTATTAGGCTCCAGAGATTTCACCAGTCTTCTCTATTCCAATAACTCTTATTGATGGCACCTCTTCTATGAATAGATAATATAAATATATCATTTAAGCCTATGAAGAAACATTTGGAGACTTGTTGGAAACTTAGAGAAAAGAATATTAATGGTCTATAAATTTGAAAAGCATCAAACCATATTTAGATGAAGAACGAGGAAATCTTACTATGGTCCTTACTTAATTGTTTCACTTTATGTTATCAAATTAATTTCCTACATAATATGTGACTATTACATTGGTGACAGATGGAAGAGAGCCATTTGATATTAATTCTATTATGGAATTATGTCAATAGATAAAATCTAAATATACTGTCTAAATTCTTTGTATAGCATTTGGCAAAAAATTTCCAATAACATTGATTAAGAGCTTAAAAGAATCTATCGAGAATTAGGATTTCAAAAACTAATCATTATTTTAAGTTATGTGTTCTGACTATCAATGTTATATTTAAATTTAGAAAGAATTAAAATATGCATTTTAATAAATCAGATAACAACTAAAAATGATCCCGTAAAATCACATCTTAAACTTTGAAGTGTTTACTTCAATTCCTTTTAGATAATCTTAAAAATATGTGGAATCAAAGGAGCTGTTTTTAGCATCTTCAAATCAAATAATGATAATAGAGGATCAATAATTGGTAAGCATCAATTCTCCAATTTGTATATTATAATTTTTAAGGAAATCAATATAAAATATTTATTGCCGTTCAGATTTACTTTAAAATGATTAGATTATTTAAGAGTTTTAGTAAACATTTCAATTCTTTAGCTCTTTAATTAAAAACGTAGAATCAAGAGAAGAATATGCATAATAACTAGAAATTATTGATTTAATTCTAAAAATTATTGAATAAATAGAATTTGCTTATAATAATGATAATAAAAAAATATCATTGTAGTAGATTGAAAAATTCAAGGATTTTATTTATTGTGATGATCCCAAAAATTTAAAAGAAATACTTGATATTTCAAAAATTACCAAATTTGAAGGTCTTTTCAAAGAAATTGTCTCATAAGTAACAACAGAATTTTAAATTTTATTAAACTTAGATACTTATAAAAATCAAAACTAAATAGATTTTTTGAAAAATTATAGAACAATTTTAACATCTAGTATCAAAAATATTGATTTAGTTTTTGAAACAATAGACCCTAAAAATTTAGAAAAAATATTTTTGGAATTTCAAAACTTAATTGGATTATTAATTTAACTTTCAAGAGAAGCTTTTTCTTCAATATATTTTGATATTTCTACAAATGAGCAATATTAATAATTAATTTATATTAATGAATTGTTAAAAAACCTATAATAATTAAAAACTTAAACTAACCTCATATAGATAAAAGTATTAATTAATTAAATTGCAAAATTGAATTTAGAGTAATAAAACCCAATTGATCCTTATTTTTAATTTAGTTACCTGCAAGAACTTTAAAAAAACAATTCTGAATCCATTTCTGAAAAATTTCTCATTTTTTTAATTGATAAAAATGAAGAATTAAAACCATATACAGATTCAATTCTTCAAAATTATACAGAGATATTTTCTAAGATCTCCCAAAAAAAGAGATTGGAAATAAATTGGTATAATATTCCAACAACAAAATTCAAAATAAAAAGCAATTAGGAATTTGAACAAATAGAATTTTAGTCTTTCAAATTATTATTAGATTCTTTAAAAGACAAATTATAATTAAAAAAAAAATAGATTCAATTATTAATTTTAACTGATAACGAACAATCGTATGAAAAACTGCACCTTTAAATTAGATTTGCATAATTGTCTCTTTACAATTTTAGAATTATTTATATTTCAATAGGAATGAAAATACTAGCCTATTTAGAATCTAAAATAAGTTCAAATATTAATCAGTAATCCTAAAATACCTAGCCATATTTAAAAAATATACCAAAATAGCTAATAAATAATTTTGCTAATTAAGAATAAATTTAATAGAAAAGAATAAATCACTAAAAGATTCTACAAGAAATTGCAAACTACATAGACATTTAGAATTTTTGAATAATTCATTTGGAAAATTATATTGATTATGATATTTGAAAAAATAAACAATGGTTATTATTATTTTAAAATCATATTATGACTGATTATTTTCTAAAACTTAAAAGGAGACAGGGAATTTCTAAATTAAATTGATTTTAGGTATTTTCTATATGGTGTAAATATTTTATTTATTAAACAATCTATAAGTTAATGTTTGTTTACTAAAAAAAATAAAAGTGTATTTATAATTTTTGTTTAAAATAAGTAGTGAATAATTTTTTTTAGAAATGTAATTAACAAGAAATAAATATATAATTCCAATAAATTTTATATATGTTGTTGTTGTAT